GAGGTGCTGCGCGCCTGCGCGGCAGCGCTGCCGGCGGCGGATGCGGCGCTGCCGGTGGGGGAGCAGCAGATGTGGAGAGATACAGTCAGATTTTTTTCTCAGAAAGCTTCCAGGAATTGGAACGTGGCTGTGCGCTTTGCAGAGATGATATTGGCTCCATTTGAATTGGAAAATCCGCTTCATATAATATTGGGGGGATGTACATTAAGCTATAGAGCGCTACGTATATTCTACTTTGAGTTTCCAGGTATGCTTACAACATCTGCCCATTTGCCTTGTTGGGACCGGAGGTGAGACAACTTGTTGGGGCCCGTTTGTGGTTGATGAACTGCATCCCCTTGCGCAGCACTCCGACGGCGCCGTCTCCCCAAAACGCCTCCACCTACCCAGGCAACAGCGGATGAACTGCAAACCCTTTTGGGGATGGGTTTGGCCACTGGAATTGAAAAATGTGGAGTTCTTTCATTGAACCTGAACGTTCGTTTTCTCCTGAGCCTGAACATTCGTTCGGTGAACCTGAACATGCTTCCGACACTTCGGCATGAGAATGTCCACCTCCTCCGCCCATCTCCACCCATCTCCATCTCTCTCCGAGCAGCGAATCTCGGACGGCGAGCTTCGTTCCTGGAGGTGTTGGACGGTGACTGGGAATGCGCCTGTGACTACTTCCGCAATGGGAACGTGATCTTTGTGCCCATGCGACTCCGGGGCGATAGAGGCAACCCGTCCTTGAAATGGGCGAGCGATCAGAGTTTTGTTTTTCTTGAGACCTTTAGACTCTGTGACTCTATTATATCTTGTTTGTTTGTTCTTGTGCTACTGATCAGCCATAATGTTTGGAGCCATCTTAGGAAGTGCAGGTCATGTGCACGTCATGGAGGGTAGAGGAGTGAGGGCTGGATAGCTTAGGGTTCCAGTTGTACCTCAGAAGCTATTTGGACCCTCCTGGCACCCGCCCCAAGCACCTTCTCAGGGTATTTGAGCCCAAACATTAGTGAATGGTATGCAAAAAATCAGGGATGCAGGCATAATGACGATAGGCATTCATCCAACTGGCAGAATGTCAAGTCCGGAACTCCTGACAGTCCTTTGTCCGATGGGACAACCTGTTTCAAACAAGCCTGACATGGTGATTTTGGGGCCTATGGACGAACTTCCTCTTCTGGAGGGAGAGCTTCTCGTCCTATTGAGATGTCTCAGCTTGGTCCCCAAAAGCTTCGGAGCCGCCGCCCCTTCTTTGGAGCCCCAAAACGCACCACTTCGCTCACATCACCCAGCTCCGGCGCGGTCCATTCGCCGAGGCGACTACATCGCCGACGGCGCGCGGCACGAGATCTCGCAGATCCAGAGGCGTCGGGAAGGCGACCCGGACGGTGTTGCACCTGTGGGGGGCGCGGGCGCGGGGGGCGGACAGATGTTCCGGAAGAGGACTTCTTCCAGAGAATGTGTTTGGGGAGAATGTGTGAGATGTGTTCTTCCAGAGATTTTTGGTTTCAAAACTTGGTGAGGAAGACTGATATGGAAAGTGGGAATGATATGAGCAACGTCATAAACCTCTATGAAAGAATTTAGGTAGGACTTAAGATTATGAATCTGTGCGAAAGGAAAACTGCAGTTGGGGAAAGCTTGGCGAAAGGTTTGGAGAAAGGCTCTGATTTTTTGATGAATGGATTTTGTTGCGAAAGGGTTGGCGAAGAGGTTTTCAGTACAAAGCATGTCATCCAAAGATTCATGATAACCAGGCGAAAGGTTGGCGAAAGGTTCGCGAAGATGTGGCGAAAGCAGTGGTTGCAGATTAGGAATGATTCCCCTTTGCTGATACATGCTGATACTTTTCTTAGATGTAAGTAGGAGAAACTCGGCGAAAGGGTTAGCTAAAGAGGTTGTCGGGTGAAGTGGGTCGGCGAAAGCAAAACATGCAGCCGCGAAAGTGTTGCGACGGGATTGGCGAAAGGTTGTTATAATCTTAAAAAGTACCGGATGGTTTTTGACACCGCTCATATGAAGGTTGCATGATTATTCAAATTTCATCCATAGTCGATGGAATCCTTGGAATTCCTTTGATCATGAGTCTATGGCAACTCTCGTAACAAAACATCCAACGAAAGGCCCACCGAGTCACACGGTGTTTGGACTCCAAACCGCTTTTTCCACCTTCTGCTTGGAACGGTCGGTCCGTATCTGGGAGGATCCCTGGTGGTGGCGGATTTCAGCTGGAAGAACGTGGCGGGCGCCAGCGGCAAGGGCCAATGGCTGGTGCTCCTCGGTTGAGCTGGTGCATATATGCTGCTATAGCTGGTGTCCCCATTCGCATAGAACTGACCGTTTTGTTTAGAACTGCTGACCGTTCCTTTCCGTAAATCATTCTATAGTCAGTCCAAACTTGATTCAGGGGAACTAACTATGTTCACAATCTCGCTGAGAGAGAGACTTCCGTTGAATTTGTTCCAATGTCTACTACCATGTAGTGGTTTGATGTCATTGGCACCTTTGTGAGGACCTAAAATCAAATACCCTACGGTGTGTCAACAGTAGGGCTCCAAGCGTATCCTCAAAGGTGGTTAGACCACCCTTGCACCCCCCCGACCACCTTGTCGGAGGGTATGTCAATCCTTAGCGAATCACTTAGGGAGACCCCCAACCATGGGTAGACTAGCGTCTATTTCCATCTATGTCCTTTTTTTAAGTGGGTCGGTGGTTGCCTCACAGATTTCATAAATAAATTAAGAATGATCGTAAACGGTTCAAAGATCTGCTCAGGAGCGTGGATGGTGCCTTCATTGCGGGTCAGTGGCGACAGGACCATGTGAGTGATGTGCTTCGTTTGGTTTTCATTCTCAGAGATATTTTTGAATAAGGACGCAGATGAGCCAATGAAAACTTGTACTTTTTCTTTTGTGCAAATGCCTGGTCTTCTGTTGGATCAGAGGCAAGATGCAGTGTGGTATCTTAGTGGGTTCATTGGTGAATGTTCACCACTGTAAGAGAGTTCGGTAAGCACACACTTCTTGCCTTGTGCTTAGTTTCATTTTGTTTATTATGACACAGTCTACGACTTGAGAACTACTGACCGTATTTTGACTCTTCTGCCTTGGGCCAGAAGACCAAAACACACCTGTTCAGAGTCAAGTCCAGCTGGCCACTGGACATGTTCTCGTCTTTTTTTCAACAACTCTAGTGATTTCAAGCGATGAAACCGCCACTCCGACGTCTCAGACGTCAGACGTCAGACGTCGAAGAAGGCGATGAAACCGCGACCCCAGTGCTTGCCATCCACGCGCGGTGCGGCACGGTGCGTAACAGGATGGTGTGGAGGAAGGCCCATGGAGTTGGTATGGCCGACGGAAGCCCTCCCTTGGCAGCTGAGCAGCAGGGAAGGCGTAGCAGCATAGGGCAGGGCAGGCATTGGCAATATGATCAGCTGATCAGAACAAGCAATAGCATATCACTGAACTAATGAGAATTCATCTCCGCTGAATCATTCGTTGATGACTCAAGAGGCCTGTTTGTTCATGTGGTTCAGGAGGCCAGACATGAAGGACCGGTGAGCGGCGAGATCCGCTGGGCGACTTGCAGGTCCTGTTGCCCTCCAAGCATCGCCTGTGGGTGGAATAAGACCAAACAAGCCCTATTGTACTTGTCAAATCCTATTTGGGAATGACTACCCCAGTTGACTTAATATTTTTTGGGAAAGGTTCAAACCACCATTCAGTGCTGTTTCCCATCACCTGCAGGTCCTCCTCTTTTGTGTGAGCTGGCCGTGGCAGGTGGCCGAGAGGTTTCTATGATTCTATGATTTCCTCACCCACAATGCCCAGTCACTCGGCAATTGCTTTCGACTCCTTTCGCTTTCGAGGCAACCCACTCCCACCAGAGCTTGCACGCTCCAGCGCACAGGAGGAGGCCGCTCGTCGGTCCTTTTGGTCCTTTTGGTCCTTGCACTGCACTCACCAAAGGTTCGACCCTTTGAGATCTTGGTTCGCGGCCTCAGGCCTGTCAGCCCAACATATTGGGTTTGGTCACGGTCACGAGGGAAAATCAAACCGGATGTACGTCGATTTCGAATCCTCCTAACGAAAACCTTTGTTTTATGTAGCCCAATACGCTTTGTTATTTAGGGTACTATGTAATATAGCCCCAATAAAAACCTTTGTGTTATCCATAAAACCTTTGTCCTTTGTTATTAGGCAATATGTCGCCCAAACACGGGTTTTGGGACTGCCATGTCGGTTTCTGCCTTCGTTTCCGGTTTTGGGCTGGTCATTTCAGGTCCGACTGTCAACCGGTGCTCACCAGGCGGTTCCAGTGCCTGACCTTGGCCCGTCCATCATCCAAGCGGTTCCTTGGCGACGCAGCAGGCAGCAGCCTTGGGGACAGAGGAGACGCGAAGATGGACGAGACGGGTGATTCATATTCCTGGACTAAGTTGGACTAAAGGTGATTCTAGGGATTGCCCTAGAAGTGTCATCCTGAAGATTACTAGGGTATCATTCCATATACCCTGAATATGGACTAGGGTGATTCCAGGGTATGGGGGGGGACCCTTAAGGCACCCGCCCTATATGATTTTGTTGCCCGGCTGTAGGAGTAGAATAGTTAAAGGTCAGTGAAGGGAGTGGAGACTTGATGTTTGTTCGGTGCAACAGGCTGCCGCTGCTGAGTGCGCTCTGCTGTGTGCGTTTTAAGCTTGGATGCTGGTGCCGCTGCAGGGTGCCACTGCTTTGTGTGCAATTGGGAGCTTGGGTGCTGGTGGTGCTGGAGGGTGCCGCTGCTGCGCGTTTGGGTGGTGGTGGTGGTGGTGGTGGTGGTGGTGGTGGTGGTGGTGGTGGTGCCGCTTGTTTTTGGTGTCGTGTACGTATTTTCAAGAGCGTTGTGAAGTGCGAGTGAAGAAGCCGCGACAGCTTGAATACAATCTGGGGATATCTAGGGTCTTTGCTGCTGTAGGCAAACACCGGCGCGAACATTCATCAAACATATTCAATATGTTAATCGAATAATATCCAAACACACATCAACACACCTACTGCAGCGAAATCAATCATTGAGTTTCGCTCCAAAGAGTGCATTTTGTACCAAAACCTGCACTGCAGCGCTGGCGCTGAACGCCACGTACCACGTACCTGAGGCCCGCGAGCTCGTCGCCACGTACCGTGACAAGGAGCCTTTGGCGAAGGAACGCTTAGCCAAAGCCTGGGAGGACGCTGCACCGCGCCTGGGATGCACCTTCCTGGGGAAATTGAGAACGGCGGATGTGTTCAAGAAGGCATGGCGACAAACTGGTTCACTTCCTGTTCCTCAACTGTTTAGACAGATCCCTTGAAGCCCCCCCACACCTTCACTGAACATGACCGGACAGATCCTGAACACTCTTAACAAGGCTCCACGGACGTCCCGGTCCGGGAGCGGCGTCCGTGGAGCTGGTCTCTCCCCGTTTTCGCCTCCCCGAGCGGTGCTGCGACGAGGCAGCAGCCCTCGGGCACCGGAGGCGACTTGGCGCCTTCGGCGGTGCTGCGACGACGGTGGCTGGCAGCAGGCGGACGGCGACCGACGGGAGGGCGGTGGCGGGCACCTTGTTTGTCCGGAGGGTTCACAGGGGTGGAGAGAGACTTGGAGGATTCCGGGAGATAGATGCTATACAGATGTTGGGTACACTGTTTCAACAATTATCATGCATGGAAGTGGAAAAGCACAGTATGTTTAGATGATTGTTTGTTGTGTTTTGTATATTTGTTTGGTTGGTTGGGTTGTTTATTGGCTGTGGGTGTTGTCTTGCATTTATGCTGCTAATGTTGGTTGCTTTGATCGGTTGCTTCGTTGGTTGGTTGGTTTTGTTCTGTCAGGGAATCATGGCATTGGAGGGTGCGACATGATGGTACTCGCATGTGTTTGTTGCAGTTGTGCGTGTATTTTTGTAATTCTGCTTCTAGGAACGTCCATTCCAAGGTGTCCCATGGGCTTTTCCCCAGAAAAAAAGAACGCCGAAGTGATGCGTGGTCCATGTGCTTGTCACCCCGGATGCTCCACGTGATGCTCCGGTCCTGGGCTACGACGTTTTGCTTGTCGTTTCGATCGAAGGCCAGGCTGATAGGCTGATAGGCTGCACCCAGGAGTTCAGTGGATTCGCAACAAGCACCAGCGGCGTACGTCGTCCCACTAACACATGTGCACGTTCCGTTCCGTTCGAGCCATTCGGCGTTCCAGTCGATGGCGTTTCGGGGCGAGTTTACGTGGGATGTGCGGATGTCCACCGCATGGCACCGCATTGTGGCACCGTTTCTCAGAATTGGATAGTATTGGTCCTTCGGGGAACAGGACATTCATAGTTTTGGGGATGAAAGCCAGGATTTTGTTACTGTAGTTTCCAATGTTTTGAAAGCCCTAACCCCAACATCCACAGGAAACCCATACCAGGACCCACTTGTGGAGTAGTTAAAAGAGACACCCCTTGAACTATAAGGGGCCACAAATAGACACCCCTGTTTCAGGGGGGGCCATAGCCATAGATGCCCCCTCCTGGGTTTGTTATGTTGTCTTCCCGGAATGTTGTTTTGCCTTCCCGCCCTTTCTTTTTTTCCCAGAATGTTGTTTTCTGTTCCCGCGTTGTTTTCTGTTCCCGGGGTGTGTTGTTTTCCGTTCCCGTCTGATGTTGCTTTTTTGTTACCGCCAAGCTTTTTATTGTTCGCAGTAGCAGTCGCAGCAGTAGCAGCAGCAGGAGGAGTAGTAGTACTAGTACTAGTAGTATAGTAGTAGTAGTAGTAGTAGTAGTAGTAGTAGTAGTAGTAGTAGTA